TAAATTTCCTTCATAACTTCTGATATTGGAGTAGCCTCACTTGTAAGGAGGGACAGATCTAATTCCAACTCATAGTCCTCTGTCCACCATCATGCACACAGAGTATCGTGAAATTCTAAATTCCGCCTTCATTCAACTCTTGTTGTCAGTAGATAAAAGTCTACAGAATGACCCCAGGGTGTTCACTGAGCGAGAGGAAGGGGTTCTGCCAGCCAGCTTTGCCCTCACTCTGGAGAGCTTCAGGAACTCTCGCTCCAACTTCACTGCCTCCATCCTCTCCTTCTCCTCATCTCTACTTAACACAGCACCTCTTCCCAGGTCACTGATCAACGGGTGCTGATGGGGAAAGAGTCACCCACTCATTTTTAGTGCAATTTGCCCCTTTTTCCTTTTTTTCCTTTCCTTTTAATTTTTTTTTTTTGTAGAGACAGAGTCTCACTCTATTATACAGAAGAGAGTGGCCGGTGTTAGCTTCACTCATAACAAGCTCAACCTCCTGAGCCCAAGTCATCCCCCTGCCTCAGCCTCCTGAGTAGCTGGGATTATAGTCACTGTCTATAATGCTCAGCTAATTTTTTCTGTTTAGTAGAGATGGGGAGTCTCGCTCTTGCTCAAGCTAATCTCAAACTCCTAAAGTCAAAGGATCCACCCAGCTCAGCCTCCAAGAATGCTAGGATTACAGGCGTAATGTGCCACCGCACCTCCAAGCTCACCTGAAATCCAGACTTCCCTGGGATGGCACATATCATGAACCCTGTTCTCCCAGCTCCCTTATCCGGTACACAGCTCATAATGTCTGTTGGTTTTGTAGAGATACGTCCCGCCCCCGGACAGATCGTAACTCCCTAAGGGCAAGAGCAATGCCTTGTGTTATTTGTCTTCTTGCCACGTAGCACCAAGACCACACACGTGGGAGGCACAGGAAACTCAGTCTCCTCATCGAAACCTCCTAGCCTACCCCTACTCCTGTCCTGTATATACCCTCTACTGGAGTTCAGCGTTACCGAATGTCTAAATCTCGAGTAAACAGCCCAAGGTCACAGAGACTGAGAATTCACTAAGAGCAATGGGACCACCCGGACTATTTCACCAGAAGCAGATTTACTACAATACTGTCAAGGCTTAGGTTTCAGGGTTCTTAAGTTCCACAGGCCCCCTCGCAAGGCCCAGGGACAGGTCCTAGCAATGTATTCACAGGTTGTATGTTTTTGTAAAAATTGAAAAATTCCAGGAAGATATTTTAACCACAACTGCATCTTTCCATTTAGACTCCTAATACATCTTCTCTCCCCTCTGGTTGAGAGTCATTGGCGTGACCGTAGGCTTTTCTGGGATCAGGCTCCAAGGGAACTGAGGCCAGTTGTGCATACATGAGATGTATCTATATGACTGCAGGTCACTTTCACATATAGTCAAGTGAGTGCTGGCCACTGACATGTGGGAATGACTTACAGGAATACTCTACCACTGAGAGTGGCAACGCAATCAGACATTGTGACACAAAGCTCTCAGATCAGGGATATCATCTTATACGTCATACAGTTTCCAATACCAAAAATATGTAGGTAGTGGAGAGAAAAGATTTGCATGCTGGAATTTAGCCCATGTAAAATTCTTCCAGTCATCAGACACGTAAGACTTAAATACAAGAGTGGGTTCTAACTGATGCCTAGTTAACCAGAAGTTCTCTCCTGGAAGCATTCATTTGATAACACAGCACTGGAAATTATAAAAGCACCACGCATGATTTATTATGGGAATCACACAAAAGAGAATCAATCCAAGTTCATACATCTGTAGAGTACAAAACTATAATAGTACTATAGAAAAGTGACTTTGCCTATAACAACTCATGGCTGAAATAAGTTATAGAGTTTTCCCCTGAATTTGATAATGAGCTGAAAAATATATTAGATATTATCAACAAAGAATTGAAAGTTGAAAAAGTCCAATCACAATATTAAAGAAAGTCAGGCTTATGCTTCTAGTTTCTCTAGAGAAAATGATATTGTTAAACTGCTCTCATATGAATAGGTAATCAAAGAGTAAATAGCCAAAAATATAAAAAAATAAGTATTATAGAAGCATATTGGACAGTTGATGAAACTGTCATTTTCCTGGAAGTTTTTGTGTTCCTGGTATTTGTTGGCCTTTTTAAATTTGAGTTTTGCTGTGATTTCTGTTTTCATTCTAAATAAACAAATATTCCTTTTAACTCATGTTTAATTCATTTTATAGAATTTTTAATTTTGTCATTCCTTTCCTTAAAGAGGGGAGGAGAAGGGGGAGGGTGGGTGGAGGGAGGGTGATTGGTGGGATCACACCTATGGTTCATCCTATAAGGATACGTGTGACTCTCTCTAAATGCAGAATATAAATGTCTTAACACAATAAGAAAAAGGCATGAAGGCTATGTTAAGCATAGGATGAAAGTACTTCAAATTATATACAGAAACAGTACACTGTACCCCATGATAGTATTAATGTACACTGTTATGATTTAATACAAAAATAAAAGAAAAGAAAAGAAGGTCCCTCCAAATTCTGTGCACATCAGGCCTCCAAAAATCTTCATATTCTTGCTCAGATAGCCCAGGATGTAAGAAAAGTGAGTTCCTCCTCAGAGAAGGGGAGAAAATATTGGAGGACAGGCCGACCACTCTGATGGATGCCTTTCTGTGGTCTCTGGCCCCTGCTTTGCCCTCTCCCACTGTGATGCAGAATAATAATGGCTTCCTGATGCCCAGGGGCAAGGTAATGGGACTTTCTTTAAGGTGAATGGCAAGTCATTTCATCAATTCAATAACTGCCGTCCTAGCTGCATGTTATTAAAAAGTCCCTCAGTACCAATGGATATTGAACTCATTTTCCAAGGGCAGAGTTTCAATTATTGCATGAATATTCTCAGACTGCTCTAGACCAGGAACCGCTTCTGAGCTCCATCCACTATGTATGTTTTATTTGCACTGTCTGCAAAGGGCCACCTGTCCAGACCCTCCCTACAGTCACATTTTATTAATGCAGAGGAAAAGAGCCTGAGAATGGCAATGTGGTCCCTCTCACGCACTTTCCTCTCCCTCAGGCTGAGTTATTCTTAACAAGCCGATGCCACATCCCAGGATTATCCTGTGAGCCCATGACACTTGAGAAAACCTCCCAGTATTTGGGAAGAAAATATTACTGATCTTACACTTCAGCGATGCATAAACAATTTTAGTATTTAAAACCTTTCCCAATTTTCAATCATGTTTTTTAACCTCAAAAAATTAAAAAGATGGACTATGAGAAACCATGACCCCAAATGATACCTGAAATCAGAAAACACCATTTATTTACAGACATCTAATAAGCCCAAACATCTAACTAAATTCTAGATAATGTTCTCAGGTTGGTATGATCAAATCAATTAGTTAGAAATAAAAGATTTGAATGATTTTTAGCAAAAATTTAGATAAACCCTCATTCACAGTATCTCCCTAATGCAACTCTAATCAGACCTTATTTCTACTCCTTCCCCTTCTCCAGCCTTGGAGAACGAGATTGCCTCACTCCATATTTCCCGCCACAAGGTTGCACTTTCTCACCTTGAAGTATCACTCATGCTATCTGACCCATTCCCTACCCAGCAGAAGCCTTTTTATCTTTCAAGAACGTAGCTCACTTCTTTGTAATTTTCTCCTAAGTTTTCTTCTCTGTAACTCCACTGGAATGGCCATAGCAGTTTTCTATCTGTGTAATGCATTTGGGACTTAAATTACAGTTCGGAGTCATTCAGCAACAGGGTGATGTATTCTGAGAACTGTACCTTTGGGTAATTTTATCCTTACACAGACGTCACATGGTGTATTTTTATTTACACAAACCTAGATGGACAGCCTATTGCACCCCTCTGGGGCTACATGGCACAGCCTTACTGCTCCTACAAACCTGTACGGCATGTTACTAAACACAGGAGATCACTGTGATACAATGGCAAGCATATGTATATCTAGATGTATTTACATGTAAAATAGGTATAGCACAATTTCAGTCTTATGATCGTAGGAAAATGATCCTATGTGGCTCACTATTGACCAAAAATCTTTATGTGGCCCATGACTGTATGCACTTCTTTCATTGTTGTTCAAAATTATTACTTGATACTGTAGCTATTGTTTATGGACTGACTTATTCAGACATTTATTTAAAGGGTATCTTAACAAAGAGGCAAAGTAGGCTCCCTGCCTATAGCTCAGTGAGGAGGGCACTGGCCACATACACTGCAGCTGGCCGGTTCCAGCCAGTCGGGGCCTCCTAAACAACAAGGACAACTGCAACAAAAAAATAGCCAGGCATTGTGGTGGGCGCCTGCCGTCCCAGCTGCGTGGGAGGCTGAGGCAAGAGAATCACGTAAACCCAAGAGTTGGAGGTTGCTGTGAGCTGTGATGCCATGACACTCTAGCCAGTGCGACATAGTGAGACTCTGTCTCAAAAAAAAATAAAAGGAGGCAAATTATATAACAAGGTTAAATAAGTTAAATGAGCTAAAACAATGGGGCAAAGAGAAATCCATTAACTATGTGCTGTATTAAAAGTGGGCAGAGGAAGGGAGCAGGAAGTGAGAAGAAGAGAAAGAGAAATGGAGGGAAATGTTGATTGCCGTTATAAACAGAGGCTTAGAGCATTGCCAGTTTGTCCCCCCGCCCCCTGCCCAAGGCCAGGCCTCAGAAGCCTGAAGATTTGTTACATTATATCGGCTCTAATATACCAAGAGTTGTTTTGGGGGAGGAGGGGGTGTTAGGCCATGAAATGAAGAGGACAATTGTGCTGGGACTGTTGGGAAGCTGGGCAGGGGGGTGGAGATCTATGTAAAAGCACGAAAGCGAAATGACTGTTTCTTCGCCAAACTATCTAAAATGTGTAGGACTCTCGAATCATTTGCCACAAACTGATTCCTGCTTGCTTTCTTCTAAAAGGACCCAGGTTTTTCCCATATTTGACTGTTGTACCCTCTTTCCCAGGTCTGCTTTGTGAACCTGGATGTGAACAAGGATGAAAGCAGCACGGAGCACCTGCAGCAGGTAACCCGGGACTCGCGCGTCCCAGGCTGGGCAGCGTGATTCCCCTTATCCATGCTCCTTTGGTAGGAGACTTGTGTAGATGGTTCCGTCATAGCCCGTTTCCCTGGCCCCTTCTCTTCGACCTTCCTGCGAATTGCATTCTTCTTACATTTGTGAAGCTTGCTTTTCCGTGTAGGCTGCGCTGTCCAACCTGGCACACTTTCTCTTAGCCCCCAGTGCTTCAGAGTGGTTTTTTGGTTTTTTGGGTTTTTTGGTTATTTTTTGCTCTTCCCTTCCTCTGTACTCTCAAACACCTGTCTGAGTTGATTTTCTAAGATTTCTCCAGAGCCAGCTTGATGGCAGCCAGGCTTTCCCTTTGTCTCTCAGATTGGTATCTTCCTGCTGCTTTCATCAAATGTTTTATCTTTAACCTTGCACTCATCTAGGCCTTGAACTCTTTGAGTGGGTAAATTTCCCAAGTGCATCTAAGGTCTTGAGGACCTTGTTATATAAATCCTTGACAACATGCAAGGACTTAAAGGTGTACTCAGTCCTGCTAATACAATGGGAAGAACTCAGTGGTATGATCTGATTGTGATCTGATTGTGATTCCATGCCCAACGCTGATGATGGTGCAGCTCACCTGTCGGTGTGATACCCTCCATGGTGGAGAGCGCACCATCTGCCTCTTGGTATCAGAACAGTGGACCTGCAATTACTCAGTTGCTCCTATATTGACTATGTCGTACCTGAAACTTCTCACACCCAGCTGCCTACACTGATTACCCATTACACATTCTCACCAAGCTTCAAAGAGCATCGTTGGGTATTACAAAGAGATTTTCAACAGAAATTCACATGCAACTTCATCTGATAGAATTATGATGTGGAGTTCATCAAAGAGAGAGCAGGGAGGGCTGAAGCCACTTGGCATCTGAGAGCAGCGTGCTTGAAGAGTCTTCTTGAGCGATTTGAGACAATCTTCTGCTGTGCCTAAGAGAAAACACTTTGGCACTGATTTAGCTACATAAACAATTGTATCTTTGGCTGCTGACATGTAAAATGAATGTGATAATGGTACCTAGTCTATGTAGGGTTTTTGTGAGGAATGAATGTAGATAAGACTTAACACACACAGTGTTTACCCAGTGCTTAGTGTATCATCAGAGCAAAATTGATTCTGGACATAATTTTATTATCATTGTGACTTTATTAGAACAGAAGATTGTTAGTAGATAATTATCTTATTCAAGGTCTTAAGAGGAAAAATTTTTTCCAAAGTGCTATTTATAGATAGGGTATAATAGTAATTACTAAATATTTACTTTAGAAAATTATAAGTGAGCAGTTTTGAAAGCTTAAATCTCCTATTCCAATCTAAATTCTTATGATGTAATTTTACAAAATTTCTTCCAGTAACAATCGTAGTAGATTATGCAAGTTATGAGTAAATGAACTATGAAGAGTTGTGAGTAAATAATTTTTTGCCAGTAGCTTTGGTGTGGTATTTTGGAAGCGAAAAGAAATCACCTAAACTAATAGAGATTCCTGCCCTACAGAAATTGGTCAACGTTTCACCAGATCTTCCAAAACTTATCAACTCCATGAATGTCCAACAGCCAAAAGAAAATGAAATTGTCCTCCTAAGTGGATTAGCATCGGGTAATCTCCAAGAAGATTTTGAAGTTTCACAGGTAAGAAATATGAGCTCTTGAGAAGCCATTAATTAATGATAAGTTATCTATAGTTAGCTCAGCACAAATCAGTAGGAACCCCAAACAGATGCTACACATAAGCTCCTGTAGCCTCAGAATCAACAATAGTTTTCTATTCAAGAACAGTCTTTATTTGTATTTCTCCTAATACTGCCACTCAGGGTTTGGCAGAGCTTTCCTTACACCAACTCATAAATTCTATTATCTTCTCGAGGGGGCATGCTGCTGGAGTCACTAGGTGTTGGTTATCTAGCTTGGTTTTCTGCAAATCTACTGAATGACAAAAAAAAGAAAACAGGATAGTCTTCTCTTTTTTTAACAGTAGCAAAATTCTAATTCATATCATGTGATCTCAGAATCTCACAGTGTCATCTTTCAGGATGTTATTTTTCCCTTAGTGGATGCCTGATTAACTAAGTTAGTGAATACAGAATGGCAGCCCCAAAGCTGGAAAGGAAATGTCCTGAATTCAAACAATAAAATTCACAGAAAAAAAGAAATGTTCTTTAAAATGAAGTAGACGCTAAAATACTATTATCATTCAATGCAATGTTTATTCCTATTGCATAAGGTACTATAACATTATTTGAAGAAATGTAGGTAAACTCATTTAATCAATTTACAAGAAAAGTATACATAAAATATATTATAGTGATATATAACAGCTCCAGATTAAAATCAGATTGAAATGATGGACATCTGTTTTCTGTCACAGCCTACTCCTGCCACTGCTTGTCAGGTCCCAGGACTGGCCAGGTCTCGGGCCCGACTTAACTAGGTTCCCTAGCTTCTAGATTGGCCAAAGGTCCCACTTGCCCTGAGCAGAGTTTCACTTTGGACTTCCTCCGGCTGTCTACAAAAGGCTTCACTTTACTTCCAAGTGTCCCCTTTGGTCCATGTCCCTGATGTCCTGTTCTGTCCTGTTGTATCCTGCTGTATCCTGCCTGCTATGCCAAAATGTCGCAACCCCTTGGGCCCCTGTGGCCCTGATCTCAATCACAGCAAGAAGGAACCAGGCGTGACACAGATTAGAAGTACAAGCGTGTAGGAGGCGGGCTAGCAGGGTAGCCAGGAGCAACCGCCGCACCAGCCTTTTATTGAGACTGTATAACACAGGTGAGGGGAGTAATTGACAAATGACTATGAGCTGAAGGCTCTCGGGCTCTTTCTCCACAAGGAGCACCCTCGGAGGAATGGCCTGAGGGTCCACCCCTCAGCTGCAGATCATCTTGCTCAGAAGTCATCTGGCTCTTGGCGCCCCCTACAGTTTTCTACTACGTTGTCCTTCCTTGGGTTTTAGTTTTCCTATCAGTTTTTAAAGTCTTCATTTATCCTTCAAGCCTTTAAAATCTCAAAAAGCCCAGAAGGTCATCCAGTATTTCATGCCAGATGTTTTGTGAAGATTCACACACAGCCTGTTACAATTTGCTAATCAATACATCATTCTAATAGTATTTTTCTTTAGTGAGAAGTTTAGGTTTCTGAAAAAAAATACTAAAAATGGCTCTAAATTTCGTCTATGTTAGGCAAAACCATGGTGACCAGAAATAATATTGAAACCTTTGTTTTTATTTTCTCTGCTGCTGCTCCCTGGTGTTAAGCTTTTATGACACCAGTTAAAAGGTTTTTGTTCATCAATATAACAAATGAAACTCCAGATACAGAAGCCTGAGTAAAAACTTTTTTACTAGAAGTCAGAACCTTTGCTCCTTCCCTACTAAAACACAGCAGAAGACATAGAATGTTTCTTGGCCCTTGGCCTGAGCAAATATCTGAAATTTAGTTTAACAATTTTCATTAATAAAGCAAGGATTCCACTGCTAGCCAGAGGAATAAAGCAAGGAATCATGCTAGCCAGAGAAACAACCAAACAGAATAGATGCTATCTTGGACTTGAAGCCAGAGACTCTGGATCTTTCTGAGCCTTGCTTTGCCCAAAGTTTACTTTACGGGATTACTTTGAAGAATTATATGAAACAGGTAAAAAGCATTTTGTCTAAAACAAACTTTAGTTTTTGTTACTAATGTGGAGGCAGTGTAAATATTCCACACCCAATACTTGAAAAAAAATAAAATGGAAATGGCATTTCCCCCTGAAAAGTCCTGTTTTAGAGAAAATGCTTTAGCTCAAAATTTCTAGATTTATACTAATGATTTTTAAAACAATGTGACAAACCAATTAATATATGAGGAGGCTTTATTTCTAGGTAATCAGATCTCCCTGACTTGGTAGCTACCAACAAGGTGTGTGTATTATAAATTTTACATAAATCCTAAGTAATTTGTGATTTCTCAACAAATTGTAAATTTTGCCTTTGAAGTAGAGAAGAAAGTGAAGATTTTATTTCCATTTTCTTTATAAAACTAACAGAGTTATTTTAAAGTGTTTATGTTTTACAGAGCACTTTTCTTAACATTTGGGAAATATAGATATTACTGGGAAATCCCAGCTTTCTTTCAATACCTCTATGAAAATTGGTACTGACATTAATTGGACCTGACCTTGTGATGACCTTACTAGACTCTGATTAATCCTGGTTAGGATTATTAATTAAACACGACAGGAAATTGGCTTAAGCACCAAGAGAATGCACTGTGTCAGGTAAATAAAGAACTCCAGTGAGTGGATGAGATTCAGGGACCTGGGCAATGTCACGTCATTATGGCATGGATTTTCTTATAGCCTCTTTCCTGCTTTCTTTCCACCGGTCCCATTATCAAACAAGTTCTTCCCACAAGGGAGGCAAAATTCTTTTGGGGGTCAAGTTGAGAAAAAGCAAAATTCCTTCCCAATAGCTCTCAGCTGAAGTCTCCTGGTGCCCCATTGGCTCTCATATGTCACATGCACATTTCGGATCCTATCATCATGGCCTTAGGAATGCTTTGTTCTGATTGGCCAGGCCTGAGTCACATGACAGCCTCCTCAAGTGGAGGTGAATTAACTGTGTGTGAACCACTTAGACTGTGAGTGCTCTGAAAACAGTCCCCACAGGACAAATGAGCCAGTCACAAAAGCAACACTGATGTTCACTGGGATTAGAAGAATCAAATTGCCAAAGACACGTTGAAGATCTTCCATTAAAAGAGTATCCAAAACTCTGCATACCTTTTCTATCTAAAAGCTATCAAGAATTGCCTATGAGCACTCAAACATTTCATACTTCTTTATCCCAGGTCCTCATCACATCCTAGATACCACCTCTACTTCTGCAATCTCCCAGAGCCCCTAAATCATTTTGTTGGTGCCACACCCACCCAACTTAATAGGTCCAGCCATATAGGGGCAGCACTTCAATGCTGAACCCTGTCCTAGCCAATCACATTCACTACTTACTTGTTTAGGGGGATTTTCTATTTGGCTGTGTGCCCCATTGAAGTCGGTTCTCTGTTAATCCACAGTAAGGAGAGAGAGATTGACAGAAGCAACTTGAGCAGGGTTAATCAAGTGAGAAAGAATTATTCACATTATTCACAAGGGCAAGTTCATGTTCCCAGAGACCTTGTGAGGAAAAGAACGAACAAGCCACTCAGTGCCTTTAACCTAGGAAATGACAACACCAGAGAAGGTTTTTGTCAATTACTCTAAAATTTTCAGTAGTCCAGATGACACCTTACTTTACTTCCTTTAACTTTAATTTCCTATTCTGTAAAATGGAGATTTTAAAAAATACCTTTCTCCATTCTTAAAGGCTAATAATTTAATAAAATAATACTAAAGTACCTTGAAAAGTACAAAGGACAATTTATATACAAAGTATTTTCTTTTCATATCCAAAATACTGAAGGAAGGTTGAACTAGAAAAGAGAAGAAAGTTGCCCAAAGCAAAATAAGGAATCAGAGTGAAGTACTAAGAACAGGAGGAAGAATCACCCAGTTATGAACGGGCAAGGTTCCTACAGGCAAGAAATGTACAATAATGTTGCAGGAACAATGGAGAAAGTTTGCCTTTTCTTCTTCCTGAGAAGTTTTGTTGTCTGTGAGCAGTTTTTTTGTTGCTGTTGTTGTTTATTTATTTCTTAGTCTTTTTACCCCAGCAAATTACTCCATCACTTTTATTATGTTGCTATGGTATCTTACAATTAATGAAATTGACAAAATGTTAGAAAATATTTATAGAATCCCTCATTCATTTATGCGTTCATTCATGCAACAAGTATTTATTATGTACCTACTAAGTGCTAAGCATTTGTGCTGGTGCTGGAGATGCATTAGTAAACAGGTTGGACAGATGCTTTTCTGGACAGTTATCTTGGAACCTCATTAAATATATATACACACACATTCACAACCATCCAGATACATGTGTCAAAGACCTGTGAGTGTATACCAGTGAGCAACAAATGAAGTGAGTCACTTACCTTTCCATTCGTCAAACCATCTTTAATAGAGACCTAGGGTAGATTCTTAAAAACCTTAAGAAAAAAAATTGCAACAGCCAATAGTTAAATAAAATATGGCGTGGAAAATACAAGTAAAATCAGTTATTTTCCTACAGAAGCAAATTTTTCTGAGACGCTTTTTACATACAACAATGAAGTCTATTCCTATGGCTGTTTTTCCTACGAGATGAAGACATATTGTTACTACGTAACTTTTAGAAGGCCCAGCTGTAGCCATTTATCCTTTTCAAACTGCAGCTACCATTTGTAGACACCAGATATTTATTGTTTGGGCTTGAAGGCCATGGGGAACATTGGAAAGAACACAGAAATTAGAGTCCAACAAACCTAAACTGCAGAACTAGCTCTTTCTCTTTATACTTGCGTGACCTTGAAAAGGCTGGTCAGCATTTCTATGCCTGTTTTCTCATCTGTGAAAGAGTAAAAGCACCTGCAGCCCCACGGAAATGCTGTCACCCTGGAGGCAGCAAGGCATGTAAAGCACTCAATAATCTGCTGTAAAAAACCAAAATGATGATGTCCACCATTATCATAGAGGCTGTGTTGGATTGACCTTCCCAGGATATTTATTTACTTTCAAGATTATTAAGAAAATACTTTTAGGCCAGGTGTGACGGCTCACTCCTATAATCCTAGCACTGTGGGAGGCCAAGGCCCCGAGGCAGGTGGCTTGCAGGAGCTCAAGAGTTCAAGACCAACCTGAGCAAGAGCGCAACCCTGTCTCTACTAAAAATATAGAAAAACCAGCTGGTCCTGGTGGTGGGAGGCAAGGGGATCACTCAAGCCCAAGAATTTGAAGTTACTGTGAGCTAGGATGCCACAACACTCTAGCCAGGGTGACAGAGTGAGACTCTGTCTTGAAAAGAAAAAAAAGTTGTTTTTCCCCCAAGAATACCATAGCAGTGTAACATTGCACATGTGATAAAATTCTTTCTCAAAATCCATCTTTATTTTGCTTAATATTTCTTTGCTACCACATTTTACCTTTGTTATACATTTAATTTGAATGATGTGAAATAGCCACTATGCACCTATTTTGACCTGTGTACATGGCAACTTCATATTGTTCAACTTTATAATTATTTTTACTCGTACCTGGCCCACTGGGAGTATATTGTGCACAGCTCCCTGGGGCAGTTGTTTGATTCATGCTCGCACCTCCCTGCATACTTTGCATGTAATAAACACTCAGAAAATATCTGATAAGTTTCAGTTCAGTGTGTAAATATCTTGATTCGGTGGAAAGATAATTCATTGAGCCAACTACGATTTACCCTACAACAACAATTCCTCACCATTTGGGGGATCAGAAACCCTAGGTGAATTCGACAAAAGCTATAGCCCAATGCTTCTCAAATGTTAATGCATGTGGGACTCTCCAAGAGATTCCTGGAGAATGCAGACTCTGACTTGGTAGATCTCTACTGAGGCCTGAGTTATATTTTCTAACAAGCTCCCAGGCGATAGCTAAGCTGCCAGTCTGCACCCACACTCTGAAAAGTAAGGCTGTGGACCACTTTCCTTGACATTCAGACCTAAGCCCATAAATGCCCACAGGTGAATTCTATTTCCCAGCCCCTGTGGATTCCTAAACCCCTGGGAGAAAGATTGAATTTGTCATTTTATGATTGTCTCTCCTAGAATTATTAAAACTTTCATATTACTATTCTAGTGAATAATAATATGAATAATAAAACTGGGTAATAAAAATGAAGGGAACTGGTCTGTAACCCTAGAATGGAACAGAATTGACAGTCTAACTGGACACCATTCAATCATTTGGACCTCTTTATCACCCCTCTTCCCGTGTGTCATTCTTTTAGAGACAACTAGTTCACTTCCAGTGGATTCATTTAAATTTCATGTTCCCTGCTTCTTCAGATGGACACTACAAATTATAAGCTTTAACTGTAGTTGGTTGACCTCCTGCTACGTATCTGAAGTACCGGTGTAAGCCTTACTGGATACCACCAAGGCAAAGACAAATATTGATCTAGGAAACTGGAACTCAGTTTAATCAAGAGAGGTGACCAAGTCTGCTTTAATATTCCCCTCAGCTTTGCCAAGCCTGGGAGAGGCTTCCCCCTGCCTGTAGACCTGACCTCACTTTTCTTAGAACATGTAACCTAGAAAACATATAATTATTTTTCCCCCACCCCTTTGAGAGGTAAGTAATTTTTAAAGCCTCTTGCCAGGTTCACACACAGGAATGTGTGTAAAACGGGGACCAGAGGGCTGTCTCCTTGAAATAATCAACAAGAAAGATCATGTCCCAGCCTCCCAGTGTCTGAGGGCATTCAGGAGCCTAATTTCTCTGGGTACTTTGCTCTCCACATTGTAAAACTACCTCCCACCATGCAGGTACAAAAAGTTTACTGTTTCTTTACATAAATCCCCTCCACTACCTTTTGTCCCAGTGCATTTGTGGTCCAGCTCAGTTCTGGTCTCTCTTCACTGTTTCAATAGCCTTGAATCAAATCTTCCTTGCCTGTTCAACTTTTCCCAGCTCAATTTTTGTTTTGACCAAGGGAGACTAAAATATGTAACACAGCCGGTCTATTTTCCCCTAAGTCAAACCCTTTCCTAGGTACCTTGTGTTCCCAAACAACTCAAGTTTTTCCAAGAAATCCATCAATACAAGCCCAGAAGACATTTCAAATATTGTAAAGGTCCCCACTGATTTTAACAGGAGACATCAGTAGACAGAAAATAATCAGAGGCAATAGTCTTTTATTTTCCTTAAATGCCTCCTTTGCTCTTCGCTTTCAGTGCCCTTGGCTGCCAGATATCTGCTTGGTCCAATGTGCAAGAGGTAGCAGGCCAAATAGTACCAATTGCATCATTTTTGAAATCAACAAATTTCTGATTGGTCTGGAACTGGTGCAGGAGCGGCAGCTCCACCTGGAAACAAACATCTTGAAACTGGAGGATGACACAAACTGTTCCTTGTCCTCAATCGAGGAAGACTTTCTCACCGCATCTGAGCACTTGGAAGAGGAAAGCGAGGCAGAAGAATCCAGGAATGGTGAGAACAGTAAAGCAAATGTGCATCTCGAAATTAGTCACCATACAAAACTGTCTGGGTGAGATTTCGGGGAAGTTTCGGGCCACATCATTTTGGCTGACACATCACAACCGTTAACTTGCTAAATTTTAAGGAAGGAAGGAGGGTAAGAGAACGCTGGTAAAGATGCTGACAAGTGCACTTAGCTGACTTAATGGTTGGACGTATCCAGACTCCCAAAAGATGCCTTAGGGATGCCGAAGGAAATCTGTGCACCTTATAGAAAAATCTTCTCGTCTGCCAAGAAGTGCAGGCTATCCCTGGGAGGAAAGTTAAGTCCCAGAGATTTCCAGACAAGCCATATTTTAGCGTCAAGTTGGGCCAGCCTGGATTTGCACACCAGCATTGCTACTGTGAGGCTATGAGACCTGGGGCAGTTATCTAATCTTTCTAAGCTCCAGTTTCCTTATCTGTTTTGGGGAGTATACTCTTGCCTGTAGCTAAGGAGTTTTGTGAGGACAGAAGGAGATAATGCAGAAAAACACTTAGCGCTCGTTTATTCCACTCTTTTTTTTTTTCTATTTTTTTTAATTGAACAGTAACTGTGTACATTAATGACCTTCTGGGGTACAGTGTGGTGTTTTTACACACAATCCGAAACACTTCCATCAAACTGGTTAACATAGCCTTCATGTCATTTTCTTAGTTATTGTGTTAAAACGTTCAGAGCTCAATGAACAATGGGTTCTTCCTTCCTGCGTTTTGACATAGAGAAAGGGATACCCCAGATGTTGTTACTGTCCCCGGGCAAAGTCCTAGGCAAACTTTAGAGCAAATCTTTGCAACAAGTCCCACTACTTAGGTTGCTCTTAACATTCTCCCTCTGTATCCAATGGGAAGCTCTAAGGTGCAGTTGTTGGGGTTGCTTTCCCCTGAAGAATAGTGACCAGTCCTCAGTTACACAAACAACCTCTCTCACTCCAGGGGTTGTGTCTATATCCCACATTCACAGCCATTTTCTTGGGTGGTATTTCATAATGAAATTCAAATGCCTTTTCAGGTTCACTTTCCTTAAAGAAATATTCAAAATGCTATAATGGAAGAAAAAAAAATAGTTGATACTTTAAGGTGTTTTTAGAAAGTAATTATTACTTTAAATTTGTGACAATCTGATATCCAAAAAGTTAAGATTGGCTTTCATTTTCTCTGCACTAGGTTATGAAAATATAAACATCTCAGCCAATGTTTTGGAGAGTAAAAAGTCAAAGGAGTCTGCCCAGGAGGAATGGAATTACAAGGCGACATTGCTTCATACTTTGGAAGACAAATACATTGGCAAATACCATACACCGTGGATTAAAACAGAAAGATCTCTTGAAAACCCAGCAGAGAACTCAGCCTTGCAGAGTCTAGACTCCTTGGCAAAGCCTTTGCAGGGGAAAGGTGAAGCTGTGGGTAATGAGAGACAAGCCACATCTTATTATTCAGAAAATTTTAAAGGTCAAGTGGAAAAATCACAGGCACTGCATATTCCAAGTGATGCTTATTTCTCCATGATGGTTAAAGATGTACCTTCTGCATCTGACAATGCCGCTGAGCAGAGCAGTGACCTGCAGCCAGGAGACCAGGAAGATGCAAGGAACGCTCTTCCTTCTGTGCAAGACGGAGAAGTCACTACCGGCGAGTATGCTACTAATTTAGCAGAATCCGTGCTGCAAGACGCATTCATTAGGTTATCTCAGTCTCAGCCTACGCTGCCTCAGGAACCTGCGATCTGTGTGTCTGGAGGAAGTGCTCTGCTTCCCAGTTGCTGTTCCACAAAAGATGCTGTGGTCTCTCGGTCATGGAATGAGCTCCCCAAAATTGTCATTGTTCAGAGTCCTGATGGCAGTGACACCGTGCTGGACCCAGGCATCTCTTCCTGGCCTGAGCCAGAAGTCCCTGTAGAAACCTCAGAGAACTCCAGCAGACACCCCCAGAGTGCTCTAGAAGTAGCGTTAGCTTGTGCAGCCACTGTGATTGGAACCATTTCTAGTCCTCAGGCCACAGAAAGACTCAAAATGGAGCAAGAGGCCCTGGTATCAAACCTTCCACTGGGTGGCAGTGCAGCACTGCAAACTCAGGCATCGCACCGAGCCAAGGATCCTCCCATCAGCGATTATTCCTTTCCTTCTGCTTTGTGTGGCATGACTCAGGTGGCCAGTGCCATTGCTGTCTGCGGCCTGAGTGAAAGAGAAGAGGTGACATGCCCTGTGGCTCCAACTGGCTTCTTACCTGCAGCTGAAGCTTCTGAAGCAACCCCACCACTTCATAGTTTAACAACAGGGAGCGGCGTGGAGCTGGGGAAGGAAGCCATTGTGGAGGGGCTACTCAAGGAGGCTGCTCGGGTTTTGACAAGGCCTAACACCTGCGGCAGCATCGGGGACTTCATTCAATCCATGAACAGGAGAATCATAGAAACTGCTTCAAAGCCTCAGACCCTATGCTCAGAAAATGTCCTCAGGAGTGAACTGGCACATACTCTGTCCAACATCATCCTGAAGCATTCCATTGATGAAGTTCACCAGAAAAACAAGACCATCGACCCCTCCGACGGCAGGCATTCGGCAGAAGTTCTGGACACCCTAATGGAAAGTACAAATCAGCTGCTCTTCAATGTGATATGCTTCACGTTCAAGAAGATGAGCCACATTGTGCAACTTGGGGAACGCCCCACGGTCCTCTCCAAGGAGACAGAGGGAGGTGTCCGGCCACCTGCTCAGGCTGCTGGGCAAACACAGACAAAAGCCACTGAATGCTCCAGCTGCTGTCCACTCAGCAGTGCGCACAGCACCAGCCTGGTCACTGACGATCTTGGGGACCACATGCATCCAAAGCAAGACCACAAAGGCGGCTTGAGGCCGGGTTTCTTCAAAAACCTCACGCTGCAGTCTGAATGTAGCCACAGGCAGCCCAACTCTTCGGCTGCTAAAACAGCCCCCAAGGAAATTTATCTGAAGAGAACAGTGACAGAGAATACAGAAAGCTCTCATCAGACACCCAGGCATGGGGAGAAGGAACGGAGAGCCTCTTTCCAAGCAGAAAGGTCACTGGCAGTGGGCCAGTGCCGACGCCGATCCCAGGATGCCGAGGACGCAGTCAGCCCAGACACCCAGGAAAAGTATCATTGTGCCACCCTGGTAAACAACGAAGCTCGCGTTCACCTGTCCTCGTTAGGGGATGACCTGCTGCTTCCTGCTCAATCCACGCCTCCAGCGAAGCCTGGAGACGTGTACTGCATCGCAGACTTCGCGGAAGAGTTAGCGGAGACCGTGGTCTCCATGGCAACCGAAATCGCAGCGATCTGCTTGGAGAACTCCAGTGGAAAACAACCTTGGTTTTGCGCGTGGAAAAGAGGGA